ATAAAAAGTATATAAGGTAGCATTAGGTACATGGTAAAGTAACCTTAAAATCTGCTGACTTTTCTGCATAATTTCTCAAATCATTACTCTACTTAGCCTAGAGAATAAGATTAAAAAAATTAATCTTCTAAAAAAGACTAACCTTTTATCTTACCCTCCAGAGTTAAAATTAAGGAAGACCAGCCTCATCAAAAATGATAATGTCAAGTAGATGTAATGCATCATTCTTACAACATTTCAAGTGTTAAAAATAATCTCTTTGGCACCATTCCTAACATCAGCCAGAAATGATAATGTCAAAATCACCACTGCACTTTTATCATGGTGCACGCTGTACTTTTAATATTGCCTTCATTTCAAATTCTTATCAAATTGTTGTAAATTACCACCAACAGCATTTAAATTTGCATGAAAAAGAGTAAATACATTTCCCCACTGTTTGATTAAAAGCAAAATGTGAGACCTTGAAAACTTTGTAATACATAATAAAGTTCTTTTCCGAGTTTGAAAATATTCCTCATGTGGAATGAAGTAAAATACACTTGTTTAGTACCATGACAGTTCTAGACTTTTTGTCCTTTCATCAATGCAGACCTTATTTGAAAAGGATAAAATAAATAAGAGATAAGCTCACAAAAATAAATAATGACTGGACAAGAGCACATGTTAAGAAAAATGAATTATGAGTGTCACAGTGAGCTCCAATAACACAAAACAGCACTTATTGCATAATTGCTCTCTGATCAATAAATGTACCCCAGGTTATCAAATATTCACATCAAAATCCTAAACCAAATGAATTCATAAACCAACTTATAAGTTTACCGCAAAAAACACTAAGCATCGAGGTTTTATGGGTTTCGGGGCCATCATCTCACAGTTGGATTTGTCCTTAGAAGCATTGCCTGCTGGATGTTTACCTTCAATACCTTATTGCAGCTGCGACAATAATTACCACCCAGTCTATCTCCCTTTCTTCCTCTTAGTAAGAAAACCCACGACATTTCTGCTTGGTGTGTGACCACCCAGATAGTAGCTACATTTCCATCCTTCTTGAAGCAAGGTGTGAGATTGGTGATGAAACAGGAGCAGAAATAAAATATATGCAATATCCAGGTCATCTCCTGAGAGTCAACACTGCTTGCCTGCACTTCTCTTCCCTTTTCTCATTTCGTTAGAAAATGGAGATGATGGGGTCAATGTTGGAAGTCACAGGTTGAGTCAAGTGTAAAAGGAAAACAAAACCCTCTCCCTACCCTACTGGGTCAGGAGCGGTGGCAAGAGAAGGCACACTATCATTAAACATTAGAAAAAAATATATACAGGCATTTTGGAGACAGTTTAAAGGTCTCCAAATTTCCTTTCATCAACAGAAAAAAACACACTTCCGCAAACATAACAGGCCACAATTTTCTCCAAGTTCTCATTAATGTTTGACTTTCAACATACTGCCAGGTACAAACCACAATGAAATGTCATCTTCAACAACATAATGAGATTTAAAACTCTATAGAATGCCTACATGATGGATTAACCGTGATATGAAATCTCTTCTATAACAACATTCTATAGTCTATAGTATAACAGTGCATATTTTGCACTCCACAAACAGTATAACACACAGGTAGAAGCAAAAATAACATGAGCAGTCAGAAAAATAGTAAAAATGTTGCCAAAATATATATTTTTCTCGTAATAATTAGCTTTCTTTATTAACAGAATTAATCCTGGAACCTCAATGGCTCTGGCTCAGAGTGGAAGAGGGTTACTTATGTAGGATGGGCAGCTGGATCAGATCCCAGCTCTGTTCTCTCTGGAATCAACTTCTTAATTCCAATGCCACTGCCATCCTGGGCTGGGGTAGAGAATATTATTGTTCCCCATTTAATTATCTTGTCCAAACCACAAGTGAAATCACATAAAAATTTTGTGAAAGTTGAGGCTCACAAAAGGAAAATCTACCCAGAAAGTAACATTAAACAAGATATATAGGTGCTGGCTATAATATTTTGAAAATAATGTAAGCATGTATTTTTAATTCCCATGGCTCTCTCAGGCACTGAATCAAGGGCTTTCGTTATTTTAGGGAAAGAGGCCATAATACCTAGGAAAAAAGGAATTGCTCAGGAAAAAAGGAATTCCTGTGTGTTAAATCAGATTTGTTAAGTTTGTAAATAGTCTTGAGAAAATAGTCTTGAGCCCTGGTTGGAGTGGCTCAGTTGGTTGGAGCATCATCCCATGCACAGAAGGGTCTCAGGTTCCATTCCTGGTCAGGGTACATACCCAAGTTGTGGGTTCAATTCCTAGTATACAGGAGGCAACAGATTGATATTTCTTTCTCACATCAATGTTTTTCTCTATCTCTCTCTCTCCCTTTCTCTCTCTCTCTAGATCAATAAAAAAATAAAATAACATATCCTTGGGTGAGGATTGAAAAACAAAAAGAAAATCACCCTGAAAGTTGGGTTTCCTTGAGCAAGAGCACCCCCACACACACACACACACACACGCACACTCACACACACACTCTCACACACACACTTCTCTTTAAATATCAAGAAGCAAAATTTGGAGGATTTTTAGAGAATTCAAGGTATGTACTAAAGAAAAGTCTCACCCACCAGCTAAACCTCTTTTTGAAGAAAAGGGAAGAGAAGAGAGACAAGAAGGCAGGGTAAGTAATTCCAAAGGGGCTTCCTGCCCATCCCCCACCACTGGGGCTAAAAACCACCCCTGCAAGAAGAGCCCTATGTGAAGGGAGGTGGCTGAAAATGAAGACTGGTTGGGGGACCTCAGAGCAGGAAGCATTTTGCATCCCCTGTTGTGTACGTCTCTCAGAGAAACCAGTGTCTTCATGGTGCACCTCCAGACATGGCTCCAAAGCCCAAGTATAGAAATGGCTGAGGGAAGTGCCTGTATAGCCCCCACAGTTACTGAGGTTGGTAGTGGATGCAGAAGTTTCCACATCCCTAAAGAAAAGAGATAATCGCTGAGGGTACTCATTGGCATGATGGCAGCAGGGAGAGTGGGTAGAGAGCGGTCTGCTTTTGAAGAATAAAGTCACCCTAGAGTAGATACCCAGGACAAACTACCAAGAGATGAAACAGTCGAGGGTCAGCCACAGTGCAGGAGAAGTCAGCAAGAGAGGAGTAAGAAGACTCCCAGGTGCCCCAGCCAGACACATTCAGCCAGAGGAATCAGTCCACTGCTTCACTGCCCTGAGGACACCCGAGCTTCCTCCCATCTTGAGAAGCAGAAGGAGAATACTTTTCACAGGATGGAAGCAAACTTTTTATTAAATACTAGTAGCCCTGTACACAAATCCGCATGCCAGTAGCTCACCAGTAGCTGGCTGCAGCCCTCCAGGAGCTCTCCGCCTGCTGCCTCACCCTCCTGTAGCTCCCCTCACCTCCCTCATAGCTTGCTGCCCTGTCCCCTCCTGTAGCTCTCCACCACCCCCTTGTAGCTCGCTGCCCACCCTCCTGCTGATCCATAATCCAGTCGTTATGTGGTGGGTCGTTACGCTCCATGGCATAACGCTATTTGCATGTTACATCTTTATTATATAGGACTAGAGGCTTGATGCATGAAATTTGTGCAAGAGTAGGCCTTCCTTCCCCCAGCTGCCAGCACCAGCTTCCCGGGACCTGGGCTTCCCTTGCAGCCCTGGCTTCGTCCAGAAGGTCATCCGGAAGGATGTCCAGTCTAATTAGCATCTTATGCTTTTATTATTATATATATCTTTAGTGATTCCAGAGAGGAAGGGAGAGGGAGGGAGAGAGAATAATTGCATGCCTCCTACTGGGGATGGAGCCTGACCCAGAATCAAACCATGACCTCCTGGTTCATAGTTCATGCTCAACCACTGAGTCACACTGGCTGGGTTGGAAGCAACCTTTTATAAGAAGTTTGAACTCTGAATCAAATGAACCCAAAACTAGGCTGTTATAAAATTGAATACATTGGTTGGGTGTTTAGTTGGCAGATACAAGGTGCCTGCCATTCCCTACTATTCATAGCAATGAGGTCTGGAGAGAAGTTGAGCTCAGATACAGAAAACAAAGCTCCATTGTTTGTACACCATTATTTGTGACTGTTGAATTTGACCCTGTGACATCAAGAACTTAGCTTTAATCATTTTCAGCTTAGGTACTGCAGAAAATGTGGTAATAATCTCAGAGTATGACTGGCAGTGCTTAGCTTCCCTGGCCTCTCTTTGACCTCTGACCTTTGGCCTCTGCCCTAGCACAGTGGTTAAGAGTATTGGTTTTAGAGCCAGGCTCAGTTGGGTCTAAGCTTGGCTATATCATTTACTAGCTGTTTGATTCTGAGTGACCTTAACTCACCCAAACCTTAGATTCTTCATCTTTAAAATGAGGATAATAATTGGGCTTACCTCCCAGAATTGTTGTAAGGAGTAAGTTATTATACATGTAAAGTGCTTAACAAAATGTGTGTCATGCAATGAGAGCTCAACATTAGTGTGTGTGTGTGTGTGTGTGTGTGTGTGTGTGCACTTTCCACAAAAAATGCCCTAAAACATTATCAAACTGTGCAAGATTTTTATAGCCTTGCACTAAAAGCTCCCATAGTTTTATGTTCTTTAGAAGGTTATCTGCTTTTAGTCTGGCAATTCCCCAAATACAAAGAAGCACTCAAGGGCTATTGCAGGTGCCCACACTCTGCACCCCAGGGCTTGTGGGCTGTGTGGTGGGTGTTCACTGTGAAGCAGTGATGTGTTCAGGCACTGTGTAAGAACATTTACTACTATAAGGACTAACAAAGGCTCAAACATACGGAGCAATTTTGCCATGTGCTTCATGCTGTCCTAAGTGCTCCACCTTATCAACTCTCATAATCCCACAACCCTCCTAGGTGGAGACTATTTTTATTACTATTTTGTAGGTGAGGAAATTGAGGAAAAGTGAGGCTAACTTCCCCAAGGTCACAAGAGCTGCAATTTAAAACCTGGCAGTCTAATTTAATATACCCACCTCTTGTCCACGTCACACTCTGCTTCGGAAATGTTTCTTCTCTCCACTTCGTGGCATCTTAGCTCCTGTTTATGGAATTCTCACTGCCTCTTTTAGGATTGCTTTTTCCTGTTCTTTTCTTCCTTTACCTTTTCTTTCCAGGCCTTGCTACACCAAAAGCACTGCCAGCCAATGAGAACATCGCTTCTGTGAGTAAACCAACCAATCGCCTTCCATGTACTTTCATTGTCTGGTCTGGGTCTTGTCTGCAATAAAGATACATGTGCTCTGAGACTTGTTCCACTAGAGCTGAGTTCACAGCTGTCTTCAACAGCTGAGCCAGCCACATATCTCCAATCTCCTTTCCTGGTAGGGATGACACACAAACAGGTCCAGGTGTGAAGACAGATATAACTTGAACCTGAAGTTTAGGCGTGGCTCAGTTGTGGATGTGCCATAGCCAAGTGTCCTTGCTCAGGCTCCTCCCCTTGGGTGGACTCCATGAGGGTCTCTGCAGTGCTGCACAGATCGCTCCAGCCATATCAAAATCTGTTTACAAGGCCATCACTGTGATCAAGTGGCCACCTGAAGCTAAAACAGACTTGCCTCATCCATTCTGAAGAGTCAAAACAATGCTATTTTTTATATTTGCGTGACGTGTAGTGTGTCCTATTTATTGTAATTTATGGAGACACCATAGACTGTGCCTTGAATGGTTCAGTAGGTGTCATTACACAGTTTCAACAGATGGTGATGTCCAGTCAGAATAGTTTCCCTATGTCCTGCCCTTGTCCTTGACTTGTGTTCTATGCCCAGATCATCTGTAGGTAACTGAAAAAAATAAAATAAAATAAACATCAAAAATTTAAGGCCATAACCTTTGAGAAAAAGTGAAGCCCAAACTTGGATGGTTTAAATTAAGTATTCTGTATGGACACGAAAAAATTTTTTTGATGGTCTGAGCAATTACAAAGTCACTTCTCCTATGAGATCTACCTCCAGAGGGGTTAACTATTGACAGAAAATGCTGAGGGCAATAACTCATTTTATATTAAGAAAGAAAGAAAAAAATTTTGATGTATCTAGAAACTAAGGAAAATCCAGTCCTCCGTTTTCCATTGGTAACTATACGAGGAATCATTTATTTTCCTTATAAGCAAAGTTTGTGCCAATATAAAAGGCTAAGTTTTGCCTATGTATAAAAGTGCTTTAAAAACTGAATATCTATAAATTCATTTTACACTTTAATTTTTGATAAAAAGTAATTTCAAGGAATAATTCTATAAATATGACTACTAAGATGTTATTAATATTTCCATATCCCCCCTAAGTGCCTTTTAATCTTTACTTCAGTATTATGATTTTTATTACCAATAAAAATGTACACATTAAATATCTAACATAATTATGATTTAAATAAACTGCAAAATTTTTATTATCATATTCTAAATTCAAATAAAAAATATTTAAATAAACAGATTAACAGTATTTGTTTCCTATTAAAAGACACAATTTATAATAATAAAATATCTTTCGGGGAAAAGACCACATTTCCTACATCTTTTTAAGTAAAATCTCAGTAAACCCTACAGCAGGAGAGAGAACACTGGGATTTGTGGACATCCTGGCAGTAGCTGAAGCCAAAGGAGCACCTGAGAGCAGCCAGAGGTAGTGTAGACAGAGGACAGAACCTGAGACACCAGCATTTGAAAGATAGAAAGAGGAGGAAGGCAGGGGGGCCATAAAACAAACTGATGAAAAGTATTCAGACGCTTAGAGGAAACCCCAGGAGAAAATGTTGCCATCAGAGGATGAAAATGGCTGAGGAAACAAGGACAGGACACAGGGTAAGTGAGAAGAACCTCTATCGTGTTTAATAGACAAAGAGTAAACAGGTTTTGTACGCCTGCATGCAAAACCCAGGTGGGTGGCTGGGAGATAAGCTCTACTGTCCTGTGCTGTGCTGGGCTGTACTTAAGGTTGTTGTGTAATTAGCACAGTGGGAGGTGACTGGCCTAGGATAGGGCCTCTTATGTGTGTGCTAGAGGGTGCCACCTGGGGGAGGGGCGGGGTACCCACCCCACCCCACCCCCCGTGACACTCAGGAGATGGAATGTCCATTACTTCTCCACAGCACAGTTCAGATCAGGCTGTGTGTTCTCACAAGGCTTCGCAGAGAGTGTGGAGATGACCAAGAGTCAACACAGAGAGAAATGTAAAACTTAATTCCCCAATGTGGCTCCCCTGAGCTTCACAATATCAAAATTTCTCACTGTCTCCACATGGCAGGGGCACCTTGTGTGTCTAGGCTGTTGAATCCAGGCCCAAATCTTACAGTACCAGAATGAGGGAAGGGTCCTCCTACCTACTGTTCAGTCCATGGGTCACTTTCTCAGTAAAATCCCTGCAATTAGTTGCAAAGATGGCTGCCCTTCTCCAGTAATCTTTTCTAAAATGTAGGGACCTAGTCTTGTATCCAAAGCACATATGTACTCAAGGAAGAACCACAAAAGCATCCTGAAGAGTATGGGTGGCATTTCTTGCTTGCACTGTAAGGGGTGTGCATATGGGTCTTGGCAGGCAGAAATCTCTCAGCCCCCATCTCCCTGGGGACTCTCTTCACTGACCTTCCTCTGGCCCTTGGTTTGGAACCAGGATGCAGAAGTGGCATCCTCTGCCAACCCTCATTGAGGTGGCACAGGCAGAGCTAGTCCTTCACTCATCCCTTCCTTAATCACTGGCTCCTCCACCTCCTTTCCAGGGACTCATCCACTTTGATTTCCTCAAGGGGTCACTGTGAATTATCTCAATAGTCCCATGGAGTTCCCAAAACCCTCTAAGGAAATGGCCATCACCCTACAGCCAAGACAAAATTATGGACATTTTCATTTCATGAGTACCTGTAAAGAACCTTAGAAATGCTTGTCTTTAGGTGTTGAGCCCTGCCCCTCCAGACTGAAATAAACACTGGGGGTCCACTCTAGCAATGCCGATATGCAATCACAGGCAAAGTTCTGCCAAGAATCTTGTGGAGCTTTACACTGTTCTACCAAGGATGGCCTCCTCCCTCCTTCTCTTTAGCTCCAGGGCATCAGAAAGATGTCTGGGCTGTTCCTTCAGATCAGCCTGTCCTGGAACACCCCACTAAAATGAGCCCCAGACAGGACCCACTTGTAAGTGCTTGCAATAAAGTCTACCTCCAGCAGGTTGGAGTTGCAGGGGAGAAACCATAAATTAAAATTAATTTTCATAAATGTGATACTAGAAGTAAGGAAGGAAGGAAATAGAACTTAAGTATAGATCCATTTTAGGATAAAGGATATTTCGCTCATTTCTTCATTCATTTCACAAATGCTTCCTAAGAATGTACTGTGTTCCAGACACTGAGGGGCAATCGTGAGCAACAGCAGATGCCCCAGTCCTCACATGGCTAGAGTCAGTCTAGAGTGGGGGAGAGGCAGACATTAGGTAATAACCACACAAACAAATATAACATTACAGTTATTAGAAGTGCTGTGATGTGAGGTTCAAAGGTGCTAAGAGAACACATAACAATCAATCCTGACCTGGGTATTCAGAGAAAGGTCTCTAAGGAAGTGATGCTTGAGCTAAGATACAAAGGTTGGATGGGGGACATGGAGGAAAGGAGAAGAAGAGAACACAAAAGCCACATATTGCTTGAAGAAAATCATTCCTAAGTCTGGGTCTGGAGAGACATTGTATTACTGCATGTATATATGTATGTTATGATGGATATAATTACCATGTGTATACCTGAAAATATACTTGCACTTAGTATATAAGCAGAAATACCTTGTTTTAAAAATCACTCATAAAGGTCTTTTTGAATAGCAGAAGAATACATTAGGACCATCAGGTTTTGTTAGGGTGAGGGCATTTGAAGTCAACGTCTGGCTTCTGGATAACCAGGTGTAGGCACTGGCTTTCCTTGAAGTGCATGGCCTTGAACCAGTCACTTGGTCCTTTAATGTCTCATTCCTCATATCTGAACATTGAGAATATTGTAACAAGATGGTTACAATAAACAATCATGAATGTTCTTCCAAATTACAAAATTCTATATTTCTGTAATTATTACCTGTTAAGATAAAGTAATTATCCAAAGAGTTCTGCGGTTTGAATAGCAATGTAACATGGCTAGGAAAACAATTAGTTTGATCCTACTTGGGGTTAAGAATAGCTTATACGTACCTCAATTTGGCATCTTTAAAAAGTAGAATGGGAATAAAATCTTCCAGTAAGCTCTTTGTAAAAAATTTCCATTTTGGGAAAAGAGAATTCATTTTGAAAGTCTGGCAGAAATACATGCTGACGGAGTTAAGGATTAAAGGAACTAGAAACATCTTGCAGCATTACTAGTATAGCCCATTAAAGTACTTCCTAGACCACAGAGTACAGCATCTGAGAGGCAAACAAGGCTCTGAACATTGTTTTCTTGATGAAAATTCCCTATTCAATCCACAAAAAAATATACAGTAAAAATAAATAAAAAGAAAATTCAAAGCAGAACCATTGCTGGGAAATGCTGCTCTAAGTCCTGACTTTGGTCAACTTGTAGGGTAGTTCAAGTCACATAATCATGATGTAGTAAAAAATATAATGAGGACTTAACACTGGTAGTTTTATAGGGTTGGAAGATTGATTTACATCCACCACTTTTTTTGTTACTTAAACTTTGTTACTGTCATCATTTTTCTAGCTATTGAGTTTAACCTCTGCACACCGTAAACTGCAGGACTATAGAGCATGCTCACAAACAAATGAAAAACATTACTGAGCCCAGTGATCCATAGGGCATGTCATCCCACAGTGAAGTTTGCATGAAGTGAGGCCTCTTTATTGTTTATATGTTTTGAAGCCAACTTACAAACCACTGTCTATGATTTTAGTTATATGACTTCTAATAAAAAAAAATTACTGAAAGACTGAGTCCGCACACAAAGTAGAGAATTAATTATTTGTATAACTATACTAGTAGAATCTGAGAACTGGACCAAACCTCAAGATCTTCTAGATTAAAGTTTCCCAAACATACCTGAAAATAAATATCTTATAAAATTAAAATAAAAAAATTAAAAAGTGGAAAAAAGATTATGGGGCCCCAACTCAGCAAAACTGAATTGGAATTTCTTGTGGGAAAAGCCTTGACTAAATAGTTACAAGTGCCTTCGGGTAATATCTGAGAAAGGCTGATCTTGGTCCAACTTTCTGCATGAAATTCAAATCCCAGCCTCATGTGGTTCTTACTGTACGTCCATGAGAATCAATGGGGAATTGTCTTCTTTTCAATATGGAGTCCAGTACTTCCACAGATGTATATCCAGAATCGGGTCTTGCTCCTGTTTTTGTTTGTATGTCTTGTGGTGGTTTTGTGTGTGTGTGTGTGTGTGTGTGTGTGTGTGTTGTTGTTGTTGTTTTTTGGGGGGGAGGGACATGTGGGGAGAACAGTTGTTTGCTTGTTTATTAATGTTCCTGGATGATGCTGATGCCCAGGCTGGTTTAGGAACAGCTGCCCGCTCCCCTGGGCCTTATAGGGTTTATCCTCTCTCTGCTCCAACACCCCCAAGCCAAGAGCCCAAACCACTTCCACCTAAAGCAATTATGTTTTATTTTCTCTGCCTAGGAAAACGCAGATTTTTTTCCATCTCCTTTTACGAACAGACACACCCAAACTATGAAAGGAAGTAGCTCGTTTGACTCCTGTTGTTAATGTATCCACAGTGAGTTGGAAGTTTTTGTGCTGTGACAACACCCTCTCCAAGGCAGCACACACACAGAACAATTAGTTGACTGGCTAAATTGTTAGTGCT